GCGTTACTGACCAGGGTACTTCGGACGAACGGCGGCGCCGGTACTGATCCTGCTACTACTTTTTTCTACTTATACTCTTACTAGACTTACTTATACTACTACTACTACTACTACTACTACTACTACTATCTACTACTACTACTACTACTACTACTACTACTACTACTACTACTACTACTACTACTACTATTACTACTACTACTACGACTACGACTACGACTACTACTACTACTACTACTACTACTACTACTACTACTACTACTACTACTACTACTACTACTACTACTACTAGTACTACTAGTACTACTAGTACTGCTGCTGCTGCTGCTGCTGCTGCTGCTGCTGCTGCTGCTGCTACTACTGCGCGCGCCGCCTGATCCATTCCCTGGGGACTTTTTGGGGGAAGCGAATGGTTGCACATAATCCTACTCTCTTGGTTTTCTTACCTTTCCAGGACGACCCCGTTCGAAACATTCGCTACAGCTGCGCCCGCAATCTGGACTATTCCCCGGTGCCACCAGGGAATAGACCGGTTCGCCGGGGTATGGACCAGTTCATCGGGGTATGGATCAGAAGCGGGGGTGGAGGAGGGGGAAGAGGAGGAGGAGAGATGGAGGGGAAAGAGGAGGGGAACAGGATGAGGAGGGGGGGAAGGAGGAACAGGAGGAGCAGGGGGGGAGGAGCAGGAGGGGGAGGAAGGATGCATTAAGCCGTTTCAGGAGCAGCTGCACGAGGCGCAACAGCACGCCGCGGAGGTCGCGTCCGTGAACTCCCCGGGCGGCCGCCGGGAGATCCGGACCATGCCGTCCCGCACGGACACAGCGAGGCCCCGAGCTTGGGCATTTTCTCGGTAGGGGTAGATGCCCTGTCCAGCCCAGGCTTGTCTGAAAGGCTTACCGAGAGTGGTTCTCGCCCGTGAGCATTTCAACTTTCATTTGAGTTTTGGTGCGTCCCGCCCGGCGGTCTCTGCCCGTGATGTCAATCGGACGCGCCCATGAAGTTACTCCTGCCCGCAGAGTCGACCATGCCGCCCCGCACGAAGCCCTCGAGGTCTTGGTTTCGGGCCGTCAGTCGCCGTCGTCGTCGTCGTCGCCGGGAGATCCGGCCGTGCCGTCCCGCACGGACAGATGGACCCTGCGAGGGGTCCCAGGGCCGATTTTGACCAGATTCGGGTTCATCCCATGTTCCTGCCCGATGTTCTGGGGCCGCAACCATTTCAGACCCCCTCGGTTCCTTTGCTCCTCCTCTCGCCATGGATCGGATCGCAGGAGAGAAGGCGGCATAGGCATGAACGTTTGAGAGCCTGCTCCGAAAGCTTCCGCACAGGCCGTTTTAATGTATTTCACCGTCGCCATGCAGCAACAAAGTCCTGTAGTCGGTATCAACCAAACATACTTATACCATGTGTGCGTCGCCCCCTCCAGGGGCGGCTTCCGCGACGAGAAATCTTATAGCATAAGGTCCCTAGCAGCAGTGTCTTTCTGGCCACACCGCTGGGGAATCGATGTACCACGATTTGTTTGTAGTGTATGTTCGGTTCGGACGGATGCTTCCGAGGAGGCCGCATGGTCATGGTAGGTCCTTATGCGTCCCATCACCCACGAGCGAAACGAGTCCTGGAGGTTTATCTCCGGAGCCCCGGGGGCACTCCTTGGGCCCCAGGACCGTCCGAGATTTGCTCGGGACGGAGACTTTGGCCTCGCGGAGGGGGGTGGGGTCCTGGGGTCCAGGGCCCGTTTTTTGGGGGCGGCCAAGGGGGAGGTGGTGATCAGGGGGAACGGGGGGGGACATCATGGCCAGGTCCTCCCTCGATGCGATTGCCCCCCTTATGATTTCGATGCGGTCCTTGCAGGCCCCCCTCTCTTGGACGCCCCCGATTTTTCTCAGGACCCGTCCGCTCCATGCCAACTCCTCCTCCGCCTTCCCTCCTGCTCCGGTCGCTGAGACAGCTCGAGGCGTGTGCGGTACCTCCGCGGTGGCGCGACCAAGACCGTCGCGGGCAGTGCGACCCCGAGAAGATACAGTGAAGGCGCTGAAGCAGAACCACTTTGGGCTCTGGAGGGGCATTCTTTTTCGGGGTCTGCCGCTCCTTAGGTGCAGCTCGTGGAGCCTGCTCATGGGCGTGGTTCGCCGTGGCCAGAAGCGCCCCACTCGTGCCTCATTTGGCGCATGGGGAGCGCGGGGACTGCAGGTGCTTCTGCGAGTTTCTCCGGAGCCTCCCGCGCAGCTGTGCCGCCTGGGCCTCGCTGCCTGGCCACGCAGGGCGGCCAGGGGCGCCGGCGTCGCCCTCCTGGCGCTCAGGCTGCGCATGTCTGCGCATGTCTGCGCATGTCCGCGCATGGCGCGGCGGGCTGCTGCAGGCTGGGTCCCGAGCTGGGACGAGATGCACACATCCTGCGGCAGAGTGGACAGGCCAGCATGGAAAGGCGGGGACGAAGCCCGAGCCCCACAGACCGGGAAGGGCGGTTTTCGAGTGCGCTCCCACGCCAGCCTGTCCTGATCAGGGCGGGCCACAGCAGCTTGGCCGGCCCGTGCTCACAAGACGGGTGCTTACATTCATCCGCACGGTGCCCAGCGGTTTTCGAGCCATGGGATTCGATTTCCTCGTTGCACTGGGCCTGCAAGTTTACAGGCCGACCATCGATCGTGCAATTACCTCAGCTGCTACAAACGATACGGTCAACATGGATAGTAAGGATGAGCGATTTTCCAAGATTGCTCTTGCATGTTTCCCCTTTCGGCCCATCCTTGGGCACTGTCGCTGGCCACGCCCCGCTTGAAGAGTGTCGACATGGCTTTTGAATTCTTATCGTGTATCAATATTATACGCGTTGACCGTAGCAGATATCGCATCGGAAGCGGACAAAGCAGCGATAATCCGAGGAGGGGATTTATACATAGCCACCGCCTGGGGGATCGATCTTCGGGGACCTCGGCACGCGGTGGATGTGGACAGATGTTTGGCCCCCCCCCCCGGGACAATGCCTATTCATGTCCACCGCTCGCTGGGGTCCCAGGATGTCGGTTCCCCAGACGGTGGATATGGATCTATCCGCGCCTCGCAGATAGAGAGCTTGTGGCCCTCGGGGTCACGCAGCACATCGCGCAGGTGCTTAGGGGAAGCCGAGGCACCTCCTATTTTGGGGGCCGATCTTGCCTGTGGCGCGCTCCATGACACCCCGCACACCTCCAGCGGGAGGCACGTACGGCTGGATCTGACACTGGTGAGAGGAGGGGAGGGGATGAGGAGGAGCAGCAGAGAGGGCGGGCCAGACACACTTCGAAACAGAAAACATGGCTCAAAGATGAACGTCCAGAGGTCCCCTCGGATTTCTTGGATCGGCTCTGGGCCCGCCTGGCGGCGCCTGGATGAGGGCGCCTGGGAGCGCTCTTGCGCGCTCGGGCGCGCCCCCTCAGGTGCGCTCTTGCGGGGCTGTTTGGGGGGCGTCTTAGGGCTTCGTGGGAGCCTCTCGGGGGCCCCGACATCTGGGGGGGGCCTCGGGGGGTCCTCGGGAGCCTCTGGGGAGTTATGTGGGCAGTCTCGGGGCGTAAGGCTCGAAGTGTCTGTTCGTGCTCCCCCATTTGGGGGATGGGGCGCCGCCCCTGGGGCCCTCTGGAGTGAGGAGCGGGCAACTGGGCTCTGGGCCTGCAGTAGCCGGCGAGCCGCGGCACAGCGGCCATTCCAGGCAAATGCCGGGGGGGAGCGTGGCGGCAGCCCTCCCGCGCGGCCTCCCCAAACATATCCAAGCGTGCGAAGGCTCTTGAAGACGGAGCCGTCGGAGTAGCCCCCTCCCCTCCCCCCTTAGAAGAGAACAGCTCCCCCTCCTTCCCTCGGAGTAGCTCAATCCCCTTACATCCCCTTCATTCCTGAGAATAGCTCCCTCCCCTTCCTCGGAATGGCCCCGTGCCCTTCGGAATATCTCCCTCCCCTCGGCGAAGAACACCGTATACGTACACATAAACTTTCAGAGCTCCGCTCTGATTTCTTCGGGCCTGTGCTAGGCCCCCTGGCGGCGTCTGGCCGCCGCCCCTTGCGCGCTCCGCGCGCCAGGGGCGTCTAGCGCCGATCCAGGAAATCCGTTCAGAGCTCCGACAGTTTGTGTGTATGCCATGCTGCGTTCCTCTACGCGCGTGTACACACACACAAACTCATGGACTTCATGCTCTGAGCGTACTCCGCCTTCTTCTCCCCCGCGCCCGCGCTCTTTTATATTTCTTGTTTGTTACCAATTAGACCCCGTAGCGCCCCTCGGCCGCCCCCAGGCGCCGCTTGGATCCAAGCGGCTGCGACGAAAGTGCCCCTCTACGCGCAGAGGGGTGGGGCTGCTCCTTGGTTAACAGAACCACAGACCTGGCCACATACAATGGGTATGCACAGAGGGCTTTGCTCTCTGCAGGGCATCTTCCAGTTCCTGGCTGGAGGGGCGGTTGTGACTGAGGGTTCCTTGCTCAGCCGCGGCATCCGCCGCCGCGCTCCCGATAGCCATTCTCCATTTGTCCGAGCCCTCGTCCAGGCCGTTTGGTCTTCACAACCTCTGCGTTGCACGCGCGCCGTCCTACAGCGAGCACATGTGCTCCTGCATGGTAGGATGTCCTGTTGCACAGCTGACAAAGGGGGCCACGAGGTCACGCCTTTTACTCCTCTGGAGCCTACACTCATCCAGTTCATGAGGGGGAAATGAGTCAAGGCAACGTAAGCAGCCACGTTTTCCGCCGCAGGGCTGGTCTGTGGAAGCTCTCTGCCAACTCTTTTTCTATATACATTGCCCACCGTTCACTATTCGCATCAAGGACTGCAAGCCCCCCCCCCGCACGGCACAGCACCCGATGGCCATCTTTGAAAACATTCCATCCGAAACACATTTCGTTGGAAAGCCTCTGAAAGAGATACCGACGGGTCCCGACACCAGAATTGCCCGTCGCGCTCTCCGCCCCTCAGGAGGGAGAAGGATGAAGGAGTACTCAGGCTGGAGTCCGAGAAGCAGCGGGTTGCGACTCGTGGTCACCAGTTGCAATCGCCCATATTTGCTCATCCAACTCATCTACGAGAGGATTGGGGACGGGGCAGTGTACAAAACGATGGTGCATGACATCTACCATGAGCCCACATACGCACGCCGTGTCGATAGCATACCAGCATACCCTGCACGAAGCAACTTGCTCTTCGGACATTGCCATGTGAGGCTGAAGGAGTTCAAAGCCACCTTTTCGCTTGAGTTCCAGGGGAGTTTGGGGCCATCTAGGTTCCGAGCAACAGCCATGTCCAATTCTACACTTCTTGGTAGCTGCAGTTTCACCGTAGCACTACTGGACAGCATCAGTATCCATGCCGATCCTAAGTCATTCTGAATATTCAGCTGAGGGACGTGGACGTTAGGATCACTGTCCCCCATTCGAGTTTATCACATCAAATGTGGTGCCGAATTTCCATCCCACCTCAAGAGAGACCCAGGCAGCTCCTAGAGATCCTCTAACATCGTTTCAAGAGAGGGCTATCGCACCGATCGGCGCAGCCAGGTACATCAGTCTCCGAATATTCCAGCCCGGCAATGTCCCGCACACATCTTCCAAGCAGTCCTGAACCAAAGGATGGCGGGCCCTAGAGCCAGCACGAAGGCGGGTCTTGGAAAAACAGGAATGCCAGATATCGATGTTTAGATGGTTCCCCATCGGACAGTCTTCAGGACAGAACTGCGCCTGATGCAGATCCTTCCCGTCCAGTCCCACGACCTCAGCACCATAGTATCTGCAGGACCTGAGATCACATACGTACGTCCTGCGCTACGCTGAGCTTGTTCGCCCTCTTCTGCAACTTCGCGAACATGCATTTCAACGTAGGTTTCGACCCAGCTCGTGCTTTTATCTGTCCAGCAAAGTCGTCCACTCCAAGGTAGGGGGGCAGGGCCCTCGCCCATGGACGTCCCCATGCTGTTTCATGCATCCTTGGAGCTTCTTGAGCCGACTGCCCGACATAGCGACACATGCGGTTGTCTTGGCGGCAACCTTACACGGAAGTTGACGCTACATTTACCCAATCCTGGCCAGAGTTGCCCAATTGGCTCGTACGAACAATTCGGCACCATGAGAATTGCGGAGGGACACCCAACTGCTACACCTTTACCCGGGTGTTTCCATGCAATCGCGACCCCATTCAGGCAAATTGATGTTTGCGCATGGTGCCGATTAAAGACCGCTGCTAACACTGTCGTGGGAAGTCCGGTACTCTTGGCCATCATTCGTGCTAGTTCACTGTTGTTCTGCTCTTGAAATCATACATGATATTGGCAGTGTGCATCGGTCGTTTCATGTGGGGTTTTATCTGAGAGGAACACCCGCTCCAGGACAGGCGCCCCCTTCTGATGAGTTGTGCTCTCCAACGGATGCTCACGGTCCCATGTCCGAGCAATGTATTAGTTAGTTTTCCCCCGTATTCGGTACGTGGGCTTGACGGTTCTACGTGTATGTCCCGAAAGACAGCACGAGTTTTGGACTCTGAGATTTGGCAACCTTAGGAAAAAATATGTTGGCAAAGACGAAAGCCTTCACGATGACCTCGCTCGAAGGAGGGTCCCAAGCAGAGAAGGTTGGAACCTTTGTGTAGTCGGGGGTTGGAGGCCCCCGTCGGCGCAACAGTACCTGTGACGAGCACCACCGCACCCGTGATCCAACATTGCGGTTAGAGATCCCCGTCCGCGCAAGAGTTTTTGTGACGAGCACCACTGTACCCGTGATGCAAAATTGCTGTCCTGATAGCTGCCACCCCACAGCAGCAGCCGCTTCTCCACATCCTTCCGCCGTTTTCCACCCGCGGGCCATCCTGGACGGACACGAGGCTGGCCCTTGAACGCCCCTCCTCGACACTCCCGCACCACGTGGTCGGTCGCATGCGCAGCGCACGCACGCCACGGGCATCCCATCGAAGGGTCGTTGTCCGGGCTCCGCTCGAAGGCAGCAGGCGACGCAAGTTACCAGCCTGGAACGTATCCCTATCCCTAAGCTGGGCATCGCCTCATCACAATGCCAATCTTAGATATTCCCTTATTTTTGAGGGCGCATCCGTAAGATTGTCGTCGCCTTTGGGCGTGCCAATCTCAGGGATAGGGATAAGTCCGAGGCTGGTAAACGAGGCCTCCCGTGAGCACCGCCAACGCAGACGAGTGCTCCTGCGCACTGGCGATGGCGGCCTTGAGCCGCTTCGCGTCGTAGTGGGCAGTCCTGCACGCCAGCGCATCGTTCCGTGTCGTACCCAACCAGCCATAGAATTTGTGGTGCCGCCACGGCTCCCATAGTATGCGGCCCAGGAAGATGAGCGAGTGCCAGTGTTCATCCGTGTTGTCCAGGGAGATCTTCTCGGCGATCCCGTGGTGGTACCACTTCCACCGTGATATATTCCTCCACCCCATCAACCTGAAGGTGTTGTTGGTAGTGCCTGCAAGGTTCTGTCGTGTCACCCAAGCGCCCGGCGTGCTGCAGTCCTCCGTTCTTTCGGATGCAACACGC